AAACCTTCAAAATCAGAGAAATTACCAAGCTTCTAGCCTCATCTACTATACATGGGTCTGAGACCAGCAATTCTGTGTCACCAAGTCCTACAAAGAGTTCACCAGTCAGAGAAACTCGAAAGTCCAAGAGGAAGGGGGTTCCAAAGAAAGTAGATGTGGATACTAGTGATGAACCTACAGAGTCTACTCAGCTAGAGAAGAAAAGAAGATCCGTTGAAATTGAGAAAGCTGAAAGTGATCCTCTTGTGAGACAAATATTCAAGAACCTGAGATCGTTTGTTAAAGGTAAGGCTGCTGCAGTTGCTCCATCAACAAGAGGCAAGAAAATGAACGTCGTTACAATGCAATGGGAAGAAGTTTTACCCCTGATGTACTGAATGTGCCTATTGAAGTTCTAGAGAGTCCTGACACTTCTGTCTACAAGCCACAGTTTGTTTCTGAAGCTGCCCAAGAAAAATGGCATACTATATACGATGGTGAAACAGGAGTGGATTGTACAGAGATTGGTTGATGAGAATCGGCTGAATTCAGTGTGTGATTGATAGGAATATTTTTGTAAGTTTTGATGAGCCAAATGTACTTTAGATCCACTTAGTTTTTAGGTCTTTTAGTACAAGCATCATAAATCAGAATATCGAGTCAAAAGGAATCTACCATAGGAAGAAAAAAATTAATTTGGGAAATTAATTTTGGTCCTACGAGTATTCATCCGAGAACGAAGCATAAAGAAATGGCGTTGCAAGAAATGACCGGATGAGCCTAATGGTGAAATGGTAGAAGTCCTTACTCAAAACAATCACACTCGAGATCAATTCCCCCCAAGGATTTATTTTTTACAAGTCGAGTTTCCGGACAAGCACAATGTTCCTAAAGGAGCAAGATGCGGACAAGCACAATGTTCCAAAGGAGCACAATGTCTGAAACAAGCACAATGTTTTTAAGGTCCACAATGTGGACAAGCATGATGTGCCAAAGGAGCACGATGTCTGAAAAGGAGCACGATGTCTGAAAAGGAGCACAATGTTCAAAAGGAGCATAATGTGAACAAGCACGATGTGTCCAAAAGAGTACAATGTGACCAAATCAGAAAAGCACAATGTTCAAGTCAAACAAGCAAGAAGTGTCCAAGTCAAAGGAGCACAATGTGGCGAAGAAGCAAGATGATCAGAAATTGGATAAATTCTAAAGAATTTATTTTGAGTCTACCCACATGCCACAAGAATCCAAAATTGCATAAAGATATTTGATCAGAACGAAAAAATATTTATGAAGACATGAATATAAAAACTTATCCTAGAAATAAATTCTATCAGATGAATTTATTTCAAAGATTCATTGGAAATTCAAATTGAGAACAAAAATAATATTTTAAAGAAACAACTTGAAAATCAAGTGGAGATAAAATATTATTTGGTCAGGCAAGTTGACAATCAAATCAAAATTGAAGATCTACTATTGTCAACAATATCAGGCTATGAAGATTCAAATTTCAAATATCAAATTATCCCACTCCAACGTATATATTTGATTGCCTATAAAAAGCCATGAAGACTTGAAGACAAGCAGAGGTGAACAAGATAGACAAGAAATAGAAAACAAGTGCAAAATTCGAAAAGTGCAAGTGCTCAAACATTCTTAGAGACTTTGTCTGAATAGTCTCAAAACTAGTTGGAGAGAGATACAATTACATTTATATTTGTAATTGTAAAAAGAGTACAGTTGTGTGCAAAATACTCTAGTGAGTGTAGCTGTGTGCAAAACACTCGTAGTTGCTAAGTGTAACTGTGTGCAAGACACTTAGTTGGCGTTGAGTATAGCTGTGTGCGAAATACTCGGAGTTCAGTGTAGCTGTGTGCGAGACACTTGGAGTTGGGTGTAGCTGTGTGCAAGACATCCGGAAGAAGTGTTTGTGTAGCGCTTATTCACTATTGTAACTGTGTATGGAAAATAGTGAATTACTCCTAGAAGTGAATGGAGTAAAGTGGACTAGGAAGATTACGCCACTTCCGAACCACTATAAATTGCCTCCCTCATTTACATACCGCACTTACATAATTTGCTCTATCTATCTATCTTATCCGACTAACCCGTTTACTATTCACAGTTAATCTTAACCGTTCGGGTTTAGTGTGTTTTCACGTATGCATGCGACTCAAACTTCTCAAGCTTAAATATTGGATTATTCTAAGCAAGTTTGACGTGTTTCATGTAACATTCGTCACACGGTCGACGTGACACGATATTTATTTACAATCTTGAATATTATTATTATATATTGAGTGCACCATCTCCTCTATATATTCAAGATATCTCTGTCACTTTACATATTATCTGTACCCATCTTACATGCGCATTTTAATTATTGGTTGGGCATAACTCTTTACATACTATTATTCCGCAGTGCAGTTTTAAACTTACTCTATTTACTTGTTACTTAGAGTTGAAGTTACCAAAGAGTTATTTATTTGGAAAAAGCTTGAAAGTATATTCACCCCCCCCCCCCTCTAGACTTTCACCACCCTATCGGGACCAACAGTGATGTATTTCTCCTTCTGCGTGAGGTTAGTCTGCTGAAGACAGTGACATCTGTATGTGCTTATTCAAAGTTGCTCACATATGATTCTACTGCAACCTGAACGAAGAAACTAATGATCTGACTAGAAAGAGGTGTATGCAAATCTTCATTAGGGGTAATTGGTTTGTGTTTGGTCCTGATGTGATCAACCAGTATTATGGATTGAAGACAGTTGATGAAGATGAGATTACTAACTGAGATCTGGTTGCAAAGACCCTCACTGGAGGAGTGGTGTCTGAATGGCCAGTGGTTGATAATGATGCTCTGTCCAGTTCTGAATTCACCTCCAAGTTTGTTATCCTTCACCGGAATGCTTTACACAACTGGCTGCCGTCTGCACACTTCCATACAGTCTGTAGGCTAGTAGCTGCACTTCTATTTCGAGTTGGCACCAAGATGACCATTGATCTAGGGAAATGGATCTTCTATCATTTCCTCACTTTGATTCATCCTAGATAGCAAAATGTTAAGATTCCTTATCCCAATCTTATTTTTGGTGTGTTAACATCCCAGGGTCTGATTTCAATGCCTAGTGAGATCATTACTACCTCTCTGCTATATACTGCGGATCCAAGTCTACTGACGGGCAAACATATCAAGGATGTTAGACCTGTTGATGCTCTGGGAACTTTTGAGGCTGATACTATTGACGACACCCCCCTACGGTCTAGATTTGAAGCTGTCCTTGCGATTGAAGGCCCGTGTGTCTGAGCTGCAGACTGTGACTAACATTATCTCAAACCAGCTCAACGTTGCTCGCACAGAGCTTGCGACTGTCTTACTCCGGATGAGCCTTTCTGAGTCTACTGTTGGTGAAGCTTTAAAGTCTGATAGTGGAGGTCCTTCTAATGTTTAACGAGACCTTTGCTTATCATTTGCAAAAAAAAGGGGGGAGTACTGTACTCAGGGGGATTATTTGTGATGGTAGTTTGTGGTGGTTGAAGTACCTTCTGGCCTTGTCTGGCCGTTTTTGTGAAGAATTGGTCTGTTTTATCTCCTTATCCATCAAGGGTTGTGTGCTGATGTTTTTATGGGTTGTAATCAAACAATATTTCTTTTTGCTATAACTGTTACCAGTACTTTCCCTTTAATTATGCTTTTGTTTCCCCATCTTTAGTTGAGTTGTTTTGCCAAATAATAGCCAAAGTGGGAGTTTGTTAGTGTTTTATTTGTTTAAGAAAAACCCTCATATATAATTGACAATATTGTTATGGAAAATTAAGATAGGGTTTAGTTTGTTGTCTGTCCGTCTTTAAAGAAGACTGATTGATCAGTAAATTCAACAGACGCACCTCTAGATCAAGCCACCGAAGGACTGACAAAGGAAAGTTTCTAAAAGCTGGCACGCGGTTATGAGACGACTATTTTGGAAAGAATATCAGCGAATCATCTTGAGAGGTATGGACCGAATCTCAACATTTCTTTCTTCACAAAAAGTCCTACATTTTACAACCAGAGATATATTTGGAGAGTGTCCAAATCAAGAAGTATATATATACTTATTCATTCAGAAGTTAGGATTGCATTGATTGAAGTCGAAACACTCTATACTAAACAGAATACACATCTTTGGTTGTCATGCCTCTTCTCAAAACAATATGTTTATGGTGATTACAAAGAAGAACTTGAGAAGTATCAACTTTGCTTAACCGATTGGTCATTAAAGCGGACTGCATCAGAGTTAGCTCTTCAATTGAAGGGATTTCATTGGACTTCTGAATGCGTGGCTCTCTGACTTCAACAATCCACTAAACCTTTGTAGACTGGGTACTGACCTTGTGTGGTGCACTTGGTTGAGATTGTTCTTCTCTACTTTTGTACATTGGATTCTGAGTTAGTGGATTGGACGCATCGGTGATCGTCCCCCAGATGTAGATACACAATGTATCGAACTGGGTAAACAAACATATGTGTTGATTTACTTTCTGCCTTAGTCTACCGCTTTACGAAATATATGCCTATCTATCTGAATGACTGCTTGATTGAGAATCTGAGTTAGTCAGTCACCAATTCAGTTTGCAAGAACGTAAATCAATGATTCCAGATTAAGAGAATATGCAAAATTACATAACTATTGAGGTATATGATGGATTAATCGCGATCAACGTAATTGCCTTCTTTTATTATGTTGAGATGTTTAACATACAACAATTCTTCCATTGAATAAGAGTTAATACCATCTGAGGTCCTCAGAGTATAGTGGTTTTGCCATGTTTCGTCCTAAACTTTTAAATTGACCATGTGGTCCTTCGACTTTCAAACTTAACCATTTGTAGTCCAAGTTAACCACACATGGTCCTTCAACTATTAAATTTTAACCAACCATGGTCCTTTCATGAGGACCACTACTGGTTAAATTTTGAAACTTGAAGGACCATGGGTGGTTAACTTGGACCACGAATGGTTAAATTTTAAAGTCGAAGGACCACAAATGGTCAATTTGAAAGTTTAGGACTAAACGTGGCAAAACCACTATATGCGGAGAACCTCATATGATATTAACTCCTTTGAATAAACTCATATCTTTATTAATCAAAATTGCCCTTAAATAAAATTTTAAATCATAAAGTAATTATTACTTGTACATTTCACGCGGATATATCTTAGTTAAAGAGATAATTGTTCTAGACGGAGATATAGTATCAAATAATATAAAATTTTATTTGTAAAAATATTTTATTTTTCAAAATAAACCTCTAATTAATAAATATTATAAAATTTGAATTTGGAAATTATAAGAATTAAATAAAAAGAATTTGATTTAATAAATCATTATCGAATAAGTCATATGTTGTTGCATGATTCTTGGATGTTCACTAATTTCTTCATCATCCTAAAACAACATAAACCAGGAGTTATAGATCCCTACATTTTGGTTTACCATTCAATTCAATAAAGCCTTTCACTATAAAAACAAACACTACAAATCATTTTAAGAAAGCAGAACTACATACTATACATACAATTAATCAAAGCAAAAACAATAAAAAGAAATAAGAGATCCGAAAATGGCTGCCAACCAAAAGCTTGTTGCAATGTTTTTTATGTTTATGGTTGCTCTCTCTTCCATGGAGCTTGTCCATGTCCATGCTAATGAAGAACCAAAATACAAGGGTATTGAAATAACCACTCCTATGACTCCAATGGAGACCAAGAACGGTGCCAAAGGAGAAAAAGAAATGATGGTTGAGAGTGGTACAGAGGTGTTTGAGAAAGTATAAGACATATATATGTGTTAGAATAAACATGTTATTGTATAGTACCAAATAATTATGTGTGATTTTTGATTCCTTTGTAAGAATAAGGATGACGTGATGCAGCAGTGGTGTATGTAGCTAGCTAGAGGACCAGGTTCTTGCTGATTCTTTGGGGTCTCCCTCTTTTCTTTTTCTCCAAAATAATAATAATACTTGTAAATGTGATAATGACAATGTTCAAATATATTTTCATATACGTATTATAATATTGGCATCGACTTCTCACTTCAAATAAGAGAGTTAGTGAAGTGATCGAATTCTTTTACACTAGAGTAGTTGAGTATAAACTGATATCTTCATTAAATAAGATACCCTTTAAATAAAAACAACAAAATTTTTAGAGTTAGTTTCATTTTTAATTTTGTCCTAAATTTATAGGTGGCAATTCACATTTAGTCTTTTTTAACATTACCTTTGGTCTTTTTTAATTAGCATCTATCTAATAATCTACAATACATAAAATCTAATAAGAGAATAAAGTTAGGCTTTTAACGGGAACAAAAAAATGTTGGGCTTAATTGTTTGTTAAGATGAATGATTCACATTATTTTGATTTTAGTATTTGTTATGGTTTTCCTTATTTAGCATATATTATATTATTTTCTTCCCTGTTTTTTTTATCAAAGCAATATTATTTTTTCCCCTTAAATAACCATGCATTCCGTTAGAAAAAAAATTTATTAACAGAATATTCCATTAATTATTTATTATTTTTAACTTATTGATTTCATAAGAAAGGTCTTACATTTTATTCTCATTTAAATCAGAGTTTGCATAATTGTTAAACATATACTATGAATATATTAAAAAAATACAAAATACAATATAAAATTTAACATAAACATTAGTCAAATAACACTACTGGAAATTCTGAAATTTCCGACCACCTGAAAATGATCTTAAATCAAGTTGAATGCCTGGTTTCCGACCACTTTTGGTATCCGGAAAAACCTTTGCTGCTATTTCCGACCACTTTTTGCTTTCAATTTGATTTAAGATCACTTTCAGGTGGTCGGAAATTCCATAATTTCCAGTAGTGTAATTAGCCCGACTAAATAAATAGCATTCAAAGTTAGCATCAAAGATTATAAATAGAAACCTTTGAAAATCATTTTCTGCATTTAAAAAAATAAATAAATTTGGATTTAGTTTTATTTCCTTTTATATCGTTTAATTAACCTTCTTTTGATTCAATATTTCAATTATGTTTTTGTATTATTGAAATGATTTTGTTCATGGTATTAATATTTTTTCGTATGTATTTCAATAATGGTACAATTGTATCTTACTTTACAAATAGAGTTAATTTCAGCAATGCTCCTCCGACGATGTTGATTTTCCACAATTATCTCCAACTTTTAATTTAGACAATTTAGACACTTTACTTTCAAATTCTTTACAATATTGGTCCTTTAACATGCTAAGGGTGTAATTCTCCCTTTATACGCCAAATTAATCAAAATACCATTGCTGAAATGACCACAAGCACCAAATTAATCAAAATACCATTGCTGAAATGACCACAAGCAAAGCCGTGGCATCCCTCTTTCGAACTCCTCTTAAAACCCCAACAGCTCTTCTTCTTTATAGCCCCCGTCCACCATGTCCCAAAGATCTTGGGACACAAACAAAGTCTTCATCATGCTGCTCCAAATCTCATATCCACTCCCATGGAACACCGGAATTCTACTAATTAACAAGAAACTTAAATAAAAAAGTTTAATATTAGTATCTTACATTATTACCAACCTGAATTAGATAGATACCAGGTAATGGAAACAATAATGCCATACATTTCACCAAGCAACAACTTCCATTAAGTAATTCCATCTAACATCACACGTACAGAAAATAACTTCAAACAGACCCTACATAGCTCAATACTAAATTTAGTTAAAATAACCATATATTTCGACTTATTTATAATCAACCTCTATTGACTGCAATTGTAGCAATTGCCATGGAAATCAAAAATCAATGACTTCATTGTTCTGTATGAAAAGTAAGTACTCCATTTTATTACACTTGATAAATTAAATAAATCAGTAGCTACAACCAAAAATAATACATATCCATTTAATTAATTCAGAATTAGATGTTTAAATTTTATAATGCCTTTATAATTTTTCATTATAAAAAAATTTAAAAAATGAAATAATTTCATAAGTTATATTATCTCTATTTTTTACAATTTAAAGATTCATTACCTTCAAATTCATTAATTAATTATATTTACTACAGTGTCCATTGTCTTCTTTTTACACTATCTTGTAATTAAATATCAATGTTATAATACAAAATATGTTATATATATTGTTACCAAGTATTTTGTACAAATATAATAAATATTAATATTTTGATCAATACTTTCACATGATAATCTACTATTCACATCTCACAACACATGCAGTATTTATTTAGAATATCGTTTTTGGACTAAGTATTTAGACTAGCGTTATTACAAAATTGCAAACATTTATTTTAGTGACAATTATTAATCTCATATATATTTTCTGGCATTTATATACTTTGAATTATTGATTTAAATAAACAAATTCGACATTCAATTACTTATGCATGAATATCTCCTATATAATCTTGCATTGATATACTTTGAATTACTTATTTAAAAATAATCATTGTGCATTACCTCATTCGCTCAATGCGTGTGCAAAACTAGTATATCAATATGTATAATTTTAAATATTTTTGTTAATTTTGTCATATCTTTGAAGTTTTCTTACAAAACTTATGTGTTTACCCATTTTATAATTTGACATGTCTTGCCACTTGTAATAATAATAATAATAATAATGATAATAATGGTAATAATAATAATAATAATAATAATAATAATAATAATAATAATAATAATAATAATAATAATAATAATAATAATAGAGTTAGTTTTATTTTGGTCCTATATTTATAGGTGACAGTCCATTTTAGTACATTTTTAATTTCTTAGAAAATATTCATTTGGTCCTAGTATTATTGTGACAACCATTTTTAGTCCTCCGTCAACATAGTTGTTGAAATGTCTTTAAAAAAAAAGACACTTTGATCTTTCTTTTATAAGTTTGTTGACCTGGTATATTTTTAAAGTTTATTTATTTTGTAAAAATACATAATTGAAGACCATAATTCTCTTATATTTATCGATATTTAATTTAAAATGTTTTGATGATAAAGGACAAAAAATAGTCATGCTACAATAATACTAGATCAAAAGTGAATATTGACTGTCATCTAAATCTAGAACAAAAAATGAAATTAACTTAAAAAGTGGACTGTCATCTAAATACTACTGCTACTTACATGTGGTGGAGCAAATGCTGACATGGATAGGTCAACCTATAAAAAAAATGGGTAAAATACAAATTTAACTGGATGGACAAAACATGGGGGCAAATTGACATTTTAATCAAAATCTATTTTTAAAAAATATTATATTTCTAAATTCAAACTTAAAAACACAACAACATTATTTCCTAACCCAGTGAGGTAATTACATAGACTGCATAGGAGAACAAAAGGGCAATTGCAAGTGATGGTTTTATTGGGACCGGGTCCACCATAAACTGGGTATAGAGGTATGACAGAACAAGACAAATTATATCATTCACCGCTGTGCATAATGGATTATGCACCGAGCTTCTAAACAACGTCGTTTTGTTTAATGAAAAGAAACTGTAACGTTTTCCTTATGTTATTATGTTATTATTAAGGTTATAATAATAACAATAATAATAATAATAATAATAATAATAATAATAATAATAATAATAATAATAATAATAATAATATTAAGTAAATATGTGGTGCAAATCAATAGGCTGAATAAGTATTAGAATTTAGTCAGCATTAGGTAATTAGTTGCCTACATTGATGGGATATAGGTATTTAGACTCCCAAGTCCTCTCAATGCTCAGTTGACGTATCATACACCATCTAGAGTCACTGAGAGAAGTGAGAGAAACACAATCAAGTCTACGGTGATTTCACAGCAGCCCGAGGAACTCCCGCCCGTCAGACTACGAGTCCAGGCGATCAAAGTTCTACCAAGGTTATAAGCTATGGTTGTAGGTTAGTGGACCTAACTTTTTATTTATTTCCACGTATAAAGTATTCTCTACGTGGATCCTGTGTTTACATTTGGTATCAGTGCCATATTTTATCTCTGCCTAGCCTTTTGATTGATTGCATAATACAATTTGTTTACATATGATATACATTATTGTATAATTTAGGATTTGTATGTAATGTGCAATCATATTTGTTGGGCTGCTGGAAATATTTGTGTAAACCTATATCCGCATTTAGAAATCAAATCGTTTTTTTGTTTTTTTTTTTTTTTCTTGCAATTGGTTTTTTTTGGACTGCTACTGCACTGTTCATCGCCTTTATCTTTTGTTTCACCGGATTTTAAGCTTACCGGTAGACCATTATTGAGGGAGGAAAGGCGTTGGATTTTAAGCTCTCCGGTTGTTCTCCTATATTTTTTCCGGCTGACTGTCCGCGAAGAGGACGGCGGTGGTGGCGGAACCGGGTTTTTCCCGGTGGTGACGCCACTACTGTCTCCTCCTTCAGGCGACCGGTGATGACCGGCGGCGGAGACAGGTGCACGGCGGGGGCGGTGGTGGCGGAGTAGGGACCTCCCGGCGATGACACTGCTATCGCTTCTGCTTCTCCGTTTCTTCTCTGTTCTCGCTGCTGTTAGGTCACGTAGCAGATGAAGAAGATGATTTATTACAGTCATGGGCCGGGTCTGGCCCAATTCAGCCAGACCTAGGCTCTATTAAAAACAAAATAAAATTCTGGGCCTGTTTATTCTTTTGCTTTTGGGCTTCCTGAATTTTTTTTTCATCATATTTGGCTTCTTCTTATGGGTTTATCCAATTGATTTTTATTTTTTTTGCCTAAAGTTGATATTAAATTATAATTCTTTTGAATTGCAGTTTAAATTGTATTCAGTATTACAATTTAATTGTGGAGCATGAGTTATAATATGCATAATCTGAGCATTTTTTTACTATTTATTGCATTAATTATTCGGTCGTTATAATTATACATATGTTAGAAAAGCATCTTCTTTTAAGTATGAATTTAGTGCCTTTTTAGGTCTGAATTATATGCCTATTATGCATGTTATAATGCCTTTTAGGTGAATTTAGTGCCTTTTAAGGATAGATTAAGCATATTCTTTTACTCATTCGGTTATTGCTCCGCTCGTGCCTTTCTAAAGCTATAAAGCACATAAAGTACATCAAAGTTCTAGTTTACCCAAATTTAAAGCCTTATCCATGGGTGTATAACCATCTTATAGATCTTTCAAACAATTTTACTTCAAATATGAGAACCCATGACTTAGGGAAGTTTCCTGGAGAGGTATACTAGTTCTGTAACACCGCCGATTTTACCAAATTTTAAAAGCTTAATTCAAGGGAAAACAAGCTAAACATCCATTAAGATAAAGCGGAAACTAACAATCAAATACGGGAGATGTTATGCCACACCTACATGTCTACAGGTGCACAGGCTACGTCTAATCAAAACGTCATTAACATACTCATAAGATCAAGGTACACAGGCCACAAGTCCAACTAGGAAAACCATAAAGAGCTACACTATCTAACAGTCTGGTAGCGTGCTCTCCAAGAAGCTACTCACAACCTCTAAAAACAGCATAAAGCTACGGGATAACACCCGGTCAGCGAATAATGCTGGTAACCTACCAACACGCGTTATGTATCATAATATACATACATATAATCAAAACCATTTGGAACTGGAAATACGGTATATATCATTTAAAGCCGAGAGAGGAAACATCAGTAGACTCATCAATCACTCACAACAAAGTTCAAAGACCAACATACTAAACCAGATAATAGAACCACAAGCACCAAGCTCAACAACAAGGTACAATATGCGACACACAACGAAGGATTCATAGTAGACATGCTCTTAAGCAATGGAAGGCGAGATTCACACCATAACGAGTTCCAAGTCCACATAGGACACTATCACACCAAGTCATATACCGCGGAGTCAGCACCACGGCTCGATTCATAGTGGATCAGTGTGGATGACTCCAAATCATCAACAATCATGCTTCACGTGGTCATCGCAACGACCCGAATCACATGCAAGTGTCATCGCAATGACAAGGACCGCAGCCAATGGAAACAGAGCTAGCAACTTTAAGTGTATACACCCCCTATTGAGATTCCAAGCTCAATGGGTTAGCTACCATCTCTGGCAACGGGGATATGTTTCCCATGTTGCCCACAAGTCACAAGTAACCAAACGGCCATCCGGAGCTTCACTACCGGTCCATTCACACATAAGTCCCCACACTGTCCACTTTACCAGCTCAAACATCTCATCGCATCAATCCATCATCCCAACAAGAGTCAATACACACAGAATCTAGAGATACAACAACACATAGATTCCACACAAAGTGTGTACAACAAAGGATACCACATCTGTACCTTGGAGATTAAGGTCCCATACCCTTAATCGTGCAATCAAGGTACAACCAATACCCATGTTTTCATCACAGGAATCAATCAATGGATCACAACAAAGATATGAAACCATACTCAACAAGGAAGGATTATAATCCAACACCAACGATGGTCTACACAAGTTGCCAACCTCAATAGGAAAAAACAAACCACACACACTAGCATTACAACATCAAACTAGCATGCATATCAAACGGGTAAACCAAAATAGTTCCAATGAACCACAAAGACTCAACATCAATTCAACGAATCACAAGGTTGGATCATTAGCACGATTCAAGACACCAAATCCTAACATGGATAATTAAGACATCGCTCTAGACATATGTAACAACAAGGAGACACACAAAAGCTCAACAATCCAATCAAACGGGGGCCAAAGAATCACACACGAATGTGCGAAAGGGTGGGAAAACAACCCCAAACCATTTCTCAAACATGTTCCCCGCGGGTGGAACCACGGGTAGGGCTCCACCCGCAGGTACGCCTGTACCCAAAATTTTAGAATTCGCGAAAAATCACTTTTTAGGCCAAGTTCAAGTCCAAATGACCCCAAATCTTTCACACAACAAAGATATGACTTGAACATATGAATAACTCATAAAATGGCATTCAAGAACCCTAAATACAAGCTCTAAAAATGCATCATCACAAGATCATGCATCAAATACTCAAACACATCAAGAATATCACATAGAAGCCAACAATCATTATTATCAAGTGAAAGTAGGTTTTGTGAAGCATGGGTTACCTCTTGTAGACTAAGAAAACCTTCTTCAACCTCAAAGCACGACCAAAGCTCTTCTAAAACAACCTAGCACTTCACCCACCAGTAGATCTTCTACAAACTCCCAAAACCCACAAGGTAGAATAAAGATTTAGAGAAAAGATGGCGGAATCTTGTAAGGAAAAGATGGGGAAGGATAGATCTTACCATTCCTAGCCTTGTAGAGTTGGAAAGGTGGAATCTTTGCTTGGGATTCCTTGAAGAACTTGTGAGGATGAACCCTAGGATTTCCTAGAGAGAAGGAGGAGTAGGGAGCAAGAAAGAGATGTAGAGAGAAGGGAAATCCTGAAAAGTAATTTGGATTTCCTTGGTTAGGGTAGGGTTTTAATGCTAGCATTGTGTGAAATGACCAAAAGGGCCCCTTCCTCCCAAAACTTGTTAGGAGAAAGACAAAGTCTAAGGTACAAGGTCTAAAGCCCAAGGTACAACTCATTGACCAAATTAAGAGGATAAGGAATTTGGTCAACTAGGTCCTTCAACTAATTTCAAAGGGAAATTAGGATAAGAATTATAAAGCCACAAGGAATTAATTAAGGAATTAATTTTGGTTTTATGGAATGAATTTCCGGAGTGTCACTTCCTCTCCCCCTAACAATAAGCTTCGTCCCCGAAGCTTGGGCACAACGAGGTTTAACAAAAGGCTAGCAGTTTGAACAACATGTGACAAGTTGGTAAAGTATGGAAAACAAGAGGTTTTAAGCACAAAGGTGTCCACCAACTAACCAAAGCTAGAGAAATCAAGGTTTCAAATTAAGGTGATAAGATTGATAGGCTTAGAAATAGGCTAAGGGTTCACAACGGTATGTCAAGAAAGAAAGATAAGGTGATAGATAAAGATTAACCAGAAGGGAAAACTAAATCTACCTCTAGCCTAACTTCCGGCTTAAAACTGGCCACCGATCTTCCCAAAGCTAACGTCTATGCTAAGGAACAAACTACAACAGAAACTGGCACCACAAGAGCCCTAAGCTAGATAACCCGGGAACGAAGAACAAGGATCACGTCTTCAACTGATCACCACTGACTTCATCAACCAAAGGAAGCAAGGTACTCACACTGCACAACCAGATCTCGGCATCCGCTTGAACTTGATCCGCGCTTCCAGACAAAGGCTACTACTGCCAACACCAAAACACGAGCAGGATGTCCTTCACCCTAGCTCTTGGGCTAACTTGATGCAGGCTGCCAACTTAACACTTGCATTGACACACAACCCACACCTCTCTACAAAGCAAAGCTCGAAGACTTTAGAACTTACGATCCGGATGAAAGATCCAAAACAGGAACGTTAACAAAGGAGAAAGGTAACTCGGGGAAAGAAGGCTCACAAGAAGAGTCTTCGTTCAACGAAGAAGGTTAGAGCGAAAGGTTTAGGTTCAAAACTTGAGGATCACGTTACTTAGGAATAGGATCAAAGTCATCAAAGTTCCAACTTAGGAAATAAGGTTGCCACCTTGCACAGAATCGTTAGAAGCGAGGAATACAAGAACGAGGTTTAATAGGATAGATAAGGATTTCCTAACGGAAGAGTTCTAGGTTTAGGTTCAGGGATAGCATTGATTAGAAAGGGAATCAAGATTTTCAAAGTCACAACTTAGGAAAATGAGGTTGTTACCTTGTACAGAGTCAATTCAAGATGGGAGCAAGAACGAGTTTCGAAAAGATAGGAAGGATTTTCCAATAAAAAGGCTTTTGGTCCGTCAAGGTAAAGAGAGGAAAACAACTTTAAGAGGGTTAGGGATTTCCGACTTCGGGAGAAAACATCTGTTCGGCGCTTGATCACTACACTTTTGTCGAACTGAAGGTTATTTTCTTCGATTCTAACGCGACTTAACTCCCAGACCTTGCCATATTTCCTTCAAAAGCTGAAGTCACCGTCGCCTTACACAAGACGGTTAGGAAAGAAAACAAGAACAATGTCCGGAAGGAAAGGGATTACTTGGAAAAAGTATGATTGGGTTCGTCTAGGAGGAGGAGGACGATTAAAGAGGGTCAAGGGTTCTTTGACTTCAAACGGTTTCTTCTTCTTGAGAAGCTAAGAACACCCGTACCTAACCAAACTTCTCCAGATCTCTTGAAAACCCAAGAAGCTTCGAGTCAAAACCAAGGTCAAAACTGACTCTTAAACTAGCTAACACCAGAAGTTAAAACGCAAGGAAGGACACGAAGGCAAAGGGAGGTGCAACAAAAGGGTATATGAACTTACTTCATCCGTCTCAGCTTGCATCAGACTTACGTCTGTGGATCTTGCCTCGCCGAGGTCTCGACTTCGCACACGGGTCCTAGCTGCTTCTTCCACTGAGTCCACGGTTGATTCCCCTTTGAAGCTTACTTCCCGACTAAGGTCTCACACTACCAGCTGGTTTCGGGCTTGCTGAAGTCTTCCTCTTAGGCATGCACTCAAAGGACCGGTGACCTTTCTTACCACAAGCAAAGCACTCTACCGGCTTCCCGTGACAGTCCATGCCGGGGTGGCGACTTCCACACTTCTTGCAAACGGAGCGCTTTCCCTTAACGTTGTTTTCCGGATTGGTTGGGGAGTCTTATCAATCTTAGAGTCGTTCCTTTGAAGGCTTCGAGATGGTTCGGCACCGGTAACTGACAAACTCATAACCACAGGCACAACACTTGTTTCAAAACTCCTCTTACGGTTCTCCCGGATTCCTTTCTGAACTTGCTGCACCCGATAGAGGTCGACTGCAAAAAGGTAGGCCTCATTAAGACTCTTAGGCTTCGACACCGTCAAGGCTTTCTTAGCCTCGAAGTTGAGTCCGACTACAAACTTCTCAACATTACTCTCCTCGGTAGGTACCAAAACTAAGGCGAAACGGGCTAACTCCAAAAACTTCTTGTGGTACTCCATTATTGACATGGGTACTTTCTTAAGGTGGAGAAACTCCTCGTACTTTTCCGCCTTAAAATGAGCAGTATAGAACCGCTCACGTAGCTTATCCTTCAAGCTTTCCCAACTAAACCCCGGATCTTGTCTACAAGCTGGCCTTTCAAGCATCCACCACAAATCCGCTTCTTGCCTAAGGTAGAACGTAGCTAACTCCACTTGGCGATCCTCTGGGCAGACCACTACTTCGAAGATCTTGTCAAACATCCGGATCCACTCTTCCAGCACTGCGGGATCTTCTTCACCAGCTAAGATCGGGGGACGAAGACTTGATACTTGGCGTACTACGTCCCGATTCTCATTCTGAGGAGGGTGGCTGTTGTTGAGGAGGGCGTTGCTCAGCGTCCGCTGATGCATGCTTTGAACTCGGTGCCTTAACTTAAAATATCCCACAACAGAAAGAAGGACAAAGCAGAGGAAGCACAATAGAAAAATATAAGAGAACTCATAACCTCACTGCGCGCCCTAAGGTTCCTAAGACTTAGGTACTTAAACACTTAGGATTCGAGCTTAACTTCTTATGGTCTTACACTTGAAAGCACCAACCTAGGTCCCAATCTAGGTTCTTAAAGTCCAACACTTGACATCCTAGGCTCAAACCTAGGCTCTGATACCAACTGTAACACCCCCGATTTTACCAAAATTTAAAAGCTTAATTCAAGGGAAAACAAACTAAACATCCACTAAGATAAAGCGGAAACTAACAATCAAATACGGGAGATGTTATGCCACACCTACATGTCTACAGGTGCACAGAATTGAAGCATGTGCTCCATCTCAACTAAAAGCCTAAGCTGATAGTTGGATACACATTAATGGATATATGCTCACACACCCCCTCACGTGTACGGTGGATTCCAACCAACACGTGGACCGGTAAACCGTAGTCGCTTACGAGTGGCGTTGTGATTCGAACCCATGACCTTTGGTCTGGCTCTGATACCAAATTGAAGGATGTGCTCCATCTCAACTAAAAGCCTAAGCTGATAGTTGGACACACATTAATGGATATATGCTCACACACAGGCTACGTCTAATCAAAACGTCATTAACATACTCATATGATCAAGGCATACAGGCCACAAGTCTAACTAGGAAAACCATAAAGAGCTACACTATCTAACAGTCTGGTAGCGCGCTCTCCAAGAAGCTACTCACAACCTGTAAAAACAGCATAAAGATACGGGATAACACCCGGTCAGCGAATAATGCTGGTAACCCACCAACAGGCGTTAAGTATCATAATATACATACATATAATCAAAACCATTTGGAACTGGAAATACGGTATATATCACTTAAGGCCGAGAGAGGAAACATCAGTAGACTCATCAATCACTCACAACAAAGTTCAAAGACCAATATACTCAACAAGACAATAGAACCACAAGCAACAAGCTCAACAACAAGGTACAACATGCGACACACAACGAAGGATTCATAGTAGACATGCTCTTAAGCAATGGAAGGCGAGATTCACACCATAACGAGTTCTAAGTCCACATTGGAAACTATCACACCAAGTCATATACCGTGGAGTCAGCACCACGGCTCGATTCATAGTGGATCATTGTGGAGGGCTCCAAATCATCAACAATCATGCTTCACGTGGTCATCGCAACGATCCGGATCACATGCAAGTGTCATCGCAATGAGAAGGACCGTAGCCCAATGGAAACAGAGCAAGCAACTTTAAGTGTATACACCCCCTATTGAGATTCCACGCTCAACGGGTTAGCTACCATCTCTGGCAACGGGGATATGTTTCTGTTGGTCCCGATAGGGTGGCGAAAGTCTAGAGTGGGGGGCGGGTGAATAGACTTTCAAGCTTTTTCAAAATAAATAACTCTTTGGTAACTTCAACTCTAAGTAACAAGTAAATAGAGTAAGTTTAACATTGCATAGCGGAATAATATTATGTAAAGAGTTATGCCTAACCAATAATTTAAATGCGCATGTAAGATGGGTACAGATGATATGTAAAGTGACAAAGATATCTTGAATATATAAAGGAGATGGTTCACTCAATATTTAACAATGATATTCAAGATTGTAAATAAATATCGTGTCACGTCGACCGTGTAACGAACGTTACATGAAACATGTCGAACTTGCATAGAATAATTCAATATTTTAGCTCGTGAAGTTTGAGTCACATGCATACGTGAAAGCACACTAAACCCGAAAGATTAAGATTAACTGTGAATAGTAAACGAGTTAGTCGGATAAGATAGATAGATAGAGCAAATTATGTAAGTGCGGTATGTAAATGAGAGAGGCAATTTATAGTGGTTCAGAAGTGGCGTAATCTTCCTAGTCCACTTTACTCCATTCACTTCTAGGAGTAATTCACTATTTTCCACACACAGTTACAATAGTAAATAAGCGCTACACAAGCACTTCTTCCGGATGTCTTGCACACAGCTACACCCAACTCCGAGTGCCTCGCACACAGCTACACTCAACTCCGAGTATTTCGCACACAGCTATACTCAACTCCAACTAAGTGTCTTGCACACAGCTACACTTAGCAACTACGAGTGTTTTGCACAAAGCTACACTCACTAGAGTATTTTGCACACAGCTATACTCTTTTTACAATTACAAATACAAAGGTAATTGTATCTCTCTCCAACAAGTTTTGAGACTATTCAGACAAAGTCTCTAAGAATGTTTGAGCACTTGCACTTTTCGAATTTTGCACTTGTTTTCTATCTCTTGTCTATCTTGTTCACCTCTGCTTGTCTTCAAGTCTTCATGGCTTTTTATAGGCAATCAAATATATCCGTTGGAGTAGGATAATTTGATATTTGAAATTTGAATCTTCATAGCCTGATATTGTTGACAATAGTAGATCTTCAATTTTGATTTGATTGTCAACTTGCCTGACAAAATAATATTTTATCTCAACTTGATTTTGAAGTTGTTTCTTAAAATATTATTTTTGTTGTCAATTTGAATATCCAACGAATCTTTGAAATAAGTTCTTCTGATAGAATTTATTTCTAGGATAAGTTTTTATATTCATGTCTTCATAAATATTTTTCCGTTCTGATCAAATATCTTCAGGAAATTTTGGATTATTGTGGCATGTGGGCTGATCCAAAATAAATTCTTTCAAATTTATTCATTTTCTAAACATCTTGCTTCTTTGCCACATTGTGCTCCTTTGACTTTGGTACTTCTTGCTTGTTTGACTTGAACATTGTGCTTTTCTGATTTTGGTTACATTGTGCTCCTTTGGACACATCGTGCTTGTTCACATTGTGCTTCTATAGAACATTGTGCTCTTTTTCAGATATTGTGCTCTTTTTCAGACATTGTGCTCCTTTGAACATTGTGCTTGTCCGCATTGTGCTCCTTTAAGAACATTGTGCTCCTTGGAACATTGTGCTTGTCCGAAAACTTGACTTGTAAAAAATAAGTCCTTGAGAAGAATTGATCTCAGGTGTGATCATTTTGAGTAACGACTTTTACCATTTCCCCGTTAGGCTCATCCGATTATTTCTTGCAACGCCATTCCTTTGTGCTTCTTTCTCGGATGAATACTCGTAGGACCAAAATTAATTTCCCAAATTAATTTTGTTCTTCCTATGGTAGATTCTTTTTGACTCGATATTCTGATTTATGATGCTTGTACTAAAAGTCCTAAAAACTAAGGGGATCTAAAGTACATTTGGCTCATCAAAACTTACAAAAATATTCCTATCAATTTTCCCCCTTTTTGATGATGCCAAAACCTATACTCAGTCATTTGACTTGTCTTTTTTAAAAACAATTATTTTTCAAAAGATTTTTTTAACTTTGACATAGCCAAGACGAGTTTAACATTTGATTTTGACTCTAGGAAAGGTATTTTTAGCAGCTAAAATTCCTATTCGCATTTTTGGATTTTAATAATAACGAATTTTTGCAATTTTCCAATTTATGCGATTTGATACAATCTAAGCTAAAAATGTTACCTTTCAAGACAAATAGAATAATAATAGATAAAGGAAAACTTAATAGCATCATAAACAGATAATTCGAACCATTTCAAATTGTTCCATGATCATGAGTTCAAGTTCGTGGACCATACAAAAAAAAATGTGACAATCATACAAATCACTTGATGATTCTGTTTCTCCTTTCTTCAAGCACATGATTTATATGATTTTGAACTTCAATGAAATTGTCACTAATGGTATAATTGTTGCCTAACTGCCCAATCACATAATAGTTGAATGCTTCAATGATGTTGTTCCCGGGCAGTATTCCTTCTTCATACCATATGATGCATTCTTCTAGACTCCTTCCCCCTTGAAGCTCAACATCATTGACTTTGATATATTCTTTAAAAACCATGATCATTAAAGCTCTAGCATAGCTTTTGATCCTCCTGAAGTTCTCATTCGAAACCCACAAGTTTTGGTCACTTGGACCATTCTTCTTCATTCCATTTGGTAGGTCATTCAAGGTTGCCAATTTTGGCATTTCAACTCTACCATCTCTTGGTGTGGATTCCAAATAGAGAGCTGCTTTGTTGTACCAGTTCGGTCAATAAGGCTTAGTACAACATTTTCCAGATTTTTTAGTCTTTCATTTGAGGTTGTGCCAACAAGGTTTTGCTCTTCTTGGGTTGCGGGAATACATCTTGCTCCTTCTTGAGCAGAATTATCTCCAAGCATGTGAGATTGTGCTTGATTTTCTAGTAAATTCCTGTAACACCCCGTGTTACGGATCCAAAAACCAACTGATTAATTAATTAATTAATTAATAACCCAGGAGAAAGAATAAACTATAATGGTTAATTTGGGAAAAAGGCCACCATAGCCCATAGGCCCAATTATATAAACCCAACCCCTAAACCCAATAGGAATAAACTCTAAATAAACCCTTGGATCTATAAATAGGGAACTCAGGGAGCACCTAGAACCCCCTCCGACACGCCTAAACGCCCCATCGCCCCAGGAGAGCTCCAAGAATTCCCTTAGAAGAAATCAAGAAAGCAAGAAAGCTTAAAGAAAGATCCTTCATAGCCAAGGAATTAATTAAGGCTAAGAGGTAACCCATGTCTCAACAAAACCTATTTTCATAGCTATGATTTCCCCTTAGGGTTTCCCCCATATTGTTGTAAATGGCGATTGATGATGATTATTATTGATGTCGATATAATGATTCCATGAGGAATATTGATAATCTTGATATTGGGAGTTTCTTGATAATTATGATGTTCTTGATGATTAATTGGGGTTTTGATGATTATGTGTTGTTCTTGATGATTATGATGTTTTTGATGATTGATTGGTATCCTTGATGATTATGTGTTGTTCCTACCGAATCTTGCAATTAGAAGACGAATTGTATTCTTGTTGATATAAAAATGATTAGAACCCTAGGTTGTATCGTATGATATTATTCTTGGATTATCGGGTGGGGAAATCGCATGTTTGGGTGTTGATTATGATTAGAAAAGCATGATAGGTTATGTGCCGTTCGTTTATCGTATTTGATCCGTTAATTGTCTATGTGTTGTCGTTAATTACGTTGAAAAGTGTCTAAGCATGGTTTCGGGTTCCACAATGGTTCCCGGGACGAAAAGTGGTGAAAAGAGTCAGTGGGGGGTAGGGGACCCCCCACTTACCCGCGGCAATTCGGGCAGCTCCGGCAGCGGGCAGCCGGCGGGCGGGCAGCTGCCCGCCGGGCACACGCTGCCCGGAACAGTGACGGCCGGCGGGTGGACCCCCACCCACCGGCTACCCGCTGGAATTTTCCCCCCCTCGGGACCCCGGCTTCCCCGTTTGATGTTTCCCCGATCCCCGTGGTGTCCCAACGGACCCCGTTTGTCGTGCCTATGTCTAGTTTGATATTTCGGGTACCGATCGTAGGTTTATGAGTCTATTATATTGCATGCTAGTTGAATTGGTATCCCGTTGACCTAGGTGGAAGAAGCATGAACCCCTTAGGACTATTCGTAGCACGTGATGGATCACGCATAAGGTTGTTATACGCTTTATCCCCCTTCCCAATGTGTAATGTGGGTTGCATGTGCTTGCTATGTGTTATGTGTGCGTGTTACCCCAATTCGGTTGCGATCGGATTGGTTATCCTGAGCTGCGGTTCAGAAGCCGGCTATAGTCAGATGGGAATTCCTGGCTGTAGTCGGATGACGGTATCCTGGGCTGCGGTCCAGAAGCTGGTTGTAGTCAGATGGGAATTCCTGGCTGCAATCAGGTGACATCTTTCCTGAGCTGCGGTTCAGAGGCTGGCTGTAGTCAGATGGGAATTCCTGGCTACAGTCAGATGACACACTCTCTTGGGCTGCGGTCCACTGTTTGGTTGCGATCAAACATTATGATGAGCTGCGGTTCATCGGTCGGTTGCGATCGACCTCCCCGTGTTGCGATACGGGGCATGGTGCTGTGGGGCCGTGTCAGAGCTATATGCACTGACCCGCATGTATGGGCATGCTAGTGGTCCTGTTGCGCCAACAACGTGCGTTATGTGTTGTGATACGGACGAGTTGTGACTATGAGTGCCTTGGGACGTGACTATGGGTTTCATATTGGGGATCGTTCATGTTGGGGTTATGATCATTGTTTATGCTCTGCCTTATTTGCCTTATCTGTTATGAACTACTTATGACTGTTATAACTGTTGCTTGTGTCTGGCCTTATCTGTCGAGTCATTCCCGGTTTTAAAGCTAGAGTTCGTAGGATATATCTTCATGCTCAAAATGGTTTTCGTATATCTATATATATCTCTATATGTATCGTATTTCAACACGTTGGAGTGGGTTACCAGCATCTCTCGCTGAACAGATATATTTGGCTTTCAAGCACAAAGGATTAGAGCACTGGAGCGCGCTAGAACTGGAGCGTAGATGTAGTATAGTTTCCCTCTCGGCCTGCGTGCCATGTTATGCATTTATATTTCGGAAGATAGTAGTTAGACAGCCTGTGCACCTGGGTTCTCCAGCGCAGGTGTGGCATAGCACCCCGTACACTTATGTGTTACGCTTTGGGATTTAATGAGATGTTACCTTTATTATTAAGTTTTAAATGTCTTGAAATTCAGGGGTGTTACAGTTGGTATCAGAGCCTAAGTTTGACCCTAAGAAAAGACTCTTAAGACCGGACTTTAGGATATTAAGCTTGAACTCTAGGTATTTAGGAACATAGGACTCAGGAATCTTAGGACGCGCGGTGAGATTGTGAAACCTACACATAACCTCCCCTCACTTTATCCCTCTCTAATATTAGGAACCCCTTCCCCACTTATTATATCAAGATTAAAACACAAAATAACATCGACCTTTAATCGCCAGGAATGGCACCTAAGAAGAAACAGTCAGGAACACCGGGACACCCCTCTCCAGAAATCTTGACTCAGGCCCTACAACGCCTGACCCAAATTGCCCAGGCACTAAGTACTATCGTACCCCAACCTCTGCCGACAGACGAGAACTTGGAAATCCACCACCAAGTCTCGGCACATCGACCACCCACCCTCTCGGGAGACGAAGACCCCATAACCCTCGAGGAGTGGATTGAGACATTCGACAAGGTGTTCAGGACGACCCAATGCCCCGAACGCCACCGGGTCAGGATAGCCTCCTTCTATTTCAAGCACGAGGCCGACTACTGGTGGGCCCGCGAGGGGCCTAAGTACGAGCAAGACCCCGAATTCAACTGGGAGGACTTAAAGACGCGGTTACGAGAACAGTTCTACCCCAACCACCTGAAGGCCGCCATGTGCGAGGAATTCCTCAATCTAAGACAGGGGACGGCCCCGGTCTCAGAATACTACCGACGATTCTGCCGACTGGCTCGCCTCGCCCCCGAGATAGTACCCACCGAAGGGATCAAAGTCAGGAAGTTCCTAACGGGCCTTAAGCCCGAACATCAGAGGTCCTTGGCCGCCCAAGAACCGAAGACCCTCGAAGAGGCCTATGCCAAGGCATGTCAGCTACAACAGGTAGCGGACCCGCCTCCAGGGATGCAACTGGGGTATAAAAGGAAACCCGAAGAAAGTGGTCCTACGTGGGCCAAACGGTAAGAGGGTGTCGTACCGCAGTGCCCGCCAGGATCCAGGGATCAAGCTGATAAACATGATGAAAATTAAGAAGTATCTGGGCCAAGGAAACGAGGCCTTCTTATGCTCAATCGAAGACCTCAACGCCAAAACGCCCGAACCACAAGCCATCCCAGTGGTGAACGAGTTCACCGACGTCTTCCCAGACGAGATTCCCGGGGCACCCCCGACCAGAGAGGTCGAGTTCACCATAGACCTCATGCCGGGCGCCGCCCCGATCTCTAAACCACCCTACCGGCTAGCACCAAAGGAAATGAGGGAACTGAAAACACAACTCCAAGAACTGCTAGACAAGGGTTACATCCGGCCCAGCACCTCCCCATGGGGAGCACCGGTACTATTCGTTAAGAAAAAGGATGGGAGCATGCGCCTGTGCATCGACTACCGGGAACTCAACCAAGTTACTATAAAGAACAGGTACCCCCTTCCCCGAATAGATGACTTATTTGACCAACTCAAAGGGGCAGGGGTATTCTCGAAGATCGACCTAAGATCCGGGTATCACCAGATCCAAGTGGCCAAACCGGACATCCAGAAAACGGCCTTCCGGACACGCTACGGCCACTACGAGTTTACCGTAATGCCTTTCGGCCTCACTAACGCACCTGCCATATTCATGGACCTCATGAATCGAGTATTCTGACCCCACCTGGATGACTTCGTCATCGTGTTCATTGACGACATCCTAGTCTACTCCCGAAATAAAGAAGAACATGAGAAGCACCTACGCATATCTCTGCAAACCCTTCGGGAGAACCAACTCTACGCTAAATTCTCCAAGTGCGAATTCTGGCAAGACAGCGTAGCCTTCTTGGCCCATGTGATAACCAAGGAAGGGATTAGGGTGGACCCCGCTAAGTTCGCGCCGTTAAAGAACGGACCACGCCGAACTCACTCTCGGAAGTCCGAAGCTTCTTAGGTCTAGCGGGCTACTACAGGAGATTCGTACCCGACTTCACCAAGATAGCCCAACCCCTCATTAAGCTCATGAAAAAGGAAACCCCCTTCCGTTGGGACAACGGCTGCAACTCGGCCTTCCAAGCATTAAAGGATAAACTAACCACTGCACCCGTGCTAGCCATACCCTCCGGATCGGAAGGGTTTGAAGTCTACAGCGACGCATCCATGAAGGGGTTAGGATGCGTACTAAT